AAAAAATCAATCTTCTTAGTGTACATCAAATTTACCACTTTGTCCTGCTAACCGGATCACTTTTTCACTTAAGACATTTTTTCGTGTTGAGAAATGCAGTCACGAAAATAAATTGAAAGTTTACCAAGATGAGACTTTGCGTTTCCATTCTTTCACCAGTGTATTAATTGTTACCACAGATAAAGCGTGAGACTCAATTGGGCGATCGACATCGAGGTCGACCTCAATGTTGTCGTATAAAATATCTTCCATATCTACATCGCCAGTGATAATTTGGATGAATATATTGAGTACCTTGTCACTTTCGTCCAGCAGAATGGGCACATGGGTTATATCAGGGAGGCAGATAACAAGGTGAAATCGCAGTCATTATGCTTCCGTGTCAGTGCTACGCTAGCGAGGCCGTTCTGTTGTGGCGAAGTTGGCGCACTTGACGGGTGTATAATTCCTTTAATGAGGCCAACTTCTTGCGGCAGTACTCGTCTCCATTGCTACTGCAAATTCACTTGGTGTTTCGCTCAAACTGAATTTCTACAAGCGCAACCTTAACAGTGAAACTTCAAAAAAACTCCTCGATGCGATCAAAGATACATACCCGAATCAACTGAGGTCATCGATTTATAACCCCATATACCTGCAACTTTCGGCTTCAACGGTTCCATCACATCGATATGAATGATCGCAAACAGAGTGCTGCCTTCACTTTACCTTCAGATGTACAGCTAACCACATACACAACCGCTGAAATCTTCTCCACTTAGCTATCGATCAGCACTCAGCCTCCTGTAACCAGCTACAACTTCTTGTCATTAATATGTTCTAACCTGCTCAGCCAAACAAAGCTATTCATAAAAAATATACATGGTCAATTTCTTCGTGTGTAGCGTCTCGGACCACGCGGATCCTTGTCGATGAATATGGTTCTTGCCACTTCTATGCCGTTACCGTCAATATGGCATTCGCACCTACAAACTATACAAAGACATTTTCCAATAACAGCTTTAACATCAATGATACGTTGACGGTGAGATTCGCCGCTGAGATATTAATCAAGGCACTCAGATCTCAAACTTCTGTAAAATCTTCACGATCATCAGACATATAAAAGCTTACTCTACTTTTCAATTGCCACACAATTTTATCTGCTGTACTATTGCTCATTGTTGAGAACACATACTCGTCTTCAACGCACTTTCCTTCACAATACGCTTCGGGATCAGGATGCAGCATCTCCTTTTTCGAGCAGCTTTCATTGTCTCGTACCTCGATGATTAGAACCATTTCATTATACTCTTGTGGCAAACTAAGTCCTTCTCATCATCCATCAACAACGACAACTTGCAATTACTTGTCTCCTAGCTTACTCCCATGCAAAGTCCTTGTTCATGATGTCCCTTACGTCTTATGAATATAATCAGCCTGAGAGTATATGCGAAGCAGACTCACGATAATGAATCGACGACTTCTGGCTGGTCTTGCATCAATGGGTCAAGTGCATAACGACCTTAAGAGAAGTTTGGGCGATTGGTATGGCACGGCACAAGGATACTAAGAACTGATAGGTCTAGTGTTCTGATCAAACATCTATACCGGAATCGAGATGGAAGTTTTAGGTGACCAAGCAATAACATGACTTTGTATTTGTTATTACCAAGAGCTGAGTCTAGCTACTATGTAGGTGTTGGATACGTATTCCTCTCCTACACGTACGGTTCTCACAAAATTACGTTAGTTTTGTACCTCTTTCTCTCGCTAATGTCAAGACAATACGCCAACGTTAGGTGGATGCGCCATCTTGTCTTGTATACTGTCACGGAATATGATGTCTCTGTTTAGCTTCAGGCTTGGAGCCGTGACTTATAACGGCCTAGAGTCACTTTCGTTGCCGCAACTCGGTCTCTCTAATACTCACATAACATGTAAGAGGAACAATACGATCTCAAAATTGCTCCATCCTTCTCCCTTTTGCCGAATTTCGTTTAGAATTCTAAAAGACGACAGCTAAAGACGACAACAATTATTTTTCGATGGCGCAAACGTTGCTAAGTTGAAATACACAATTTTACAACACCTTTATGCTAATGTAAATTGAATGAGCTATGAAGCTGTCACCACTGATGTCTACCGGGTGTTTTGTGTGCTGCCAAGTGGTGAGTAATCAATGGATGTGGTGGACTGGAAGCAATTCGGTCAAGTGTGACTTTTGAGACAATTTGTGCCGGGTGTGTCCAGATGTCACGCCTTGGATAGCCCTCTTTGACATAAAATCTATGTGAGCAATGAATTATGATTTGCGATGGACCTCCACACGCAATTCTTCTAGTGAGTATGTTGCATGCATCCCTTATACCAAGCCATTTCCAGTTTTCTACATCACCAAAAGAATACACACAATGTGCTTACTCCTCGCTTTGAGATAGAACTCCCAAAAACTTGGATGTGATCATGCATGATGTCCAGCACATCCAAAGATCTTGCTCATTTGCTCAATATTCCAGTCTATGACAACTTGACTTTGCGATTGTCAACAGAATTAGTTAGCAATCATTAATAGATGAGTAAGAAAGATTCAACAATGAGAGCATGTGTTCAAGAAAGGTATCCGTTCCTTACATCTGAGACGAAAAGCTCACCAACCACTGAAGTAACTTTGTCGTTTGATAATCAACATTTTATTGGGATCAGAATTGGGATATACGTCATCACCAGCAATGGTATTAAACCCTTTGATCACACGACTCTGAATATCTCAAATCATCAAATGTTTCAAGAATGTTCTCGCTAGGATATTTTGATACAGCTCACTGGCTGAAAGCATCAAGTTTACCATACGGTCAACGAGAATATTTGACGTTCAGATCGTTTGAGATAATGATTCTAATCGGGAGATAAGCTTTTTAGCTTTCATAATAATCTTAAGATTTTTGCAATGATATGAAGTTTATCACAGTCTTTCGATCGAAGTACGTGCCGATCCTTGATACCATGCGACACCCACACGTGAAGCTTCAGATCTAGAGTATATAATCTTCAATACAAGCTTGTTTTGTTTAGAGTAAAGTATAATACGCCCTACGAAGTGTTAGCGATCTAAATCACTTTGCAATTTCCCACGGAACCCAAACACCAAATCAATTGAGCAAGTGTTTGAGTCAAAAGCCACCGTACACGACTCAGCCCGCCACCACTTCCTCTCCTATTTTTGACAGCGTCACTTCTTGCCCACAAGCACCCATTGCTGCAGTGGTAGTCGTGTTAAGACGAAGTTTAAACAAGTTTAAAGCCTCAAGTCAACGAGCAAGATCAGCGTGTTTCTGGTGCCTATCAATTATGAAATTTCGCCTAGCTTTGCTCTTTGCTGCTGCAACTGTCTTTGTTGACGGTAGCAACCCGTCAACACTTCCAGAATCTTACCAGCACGCACTTTCTACTGAGACGCCTACCAATTCATTTCAGTTGTTGGATACTCAAGGAGGCAACAAGTATCTAAGCTCTTCTTCCAAGGCTGGCACGGCTGGAAGTGGGAAAAAGGCGCTTGATGAAGAAGAGAGAAACAGCGGGGAGTTGATTGCCAGCACAGGAAATAAGCTCTTGACATGGTTTGATAAACTCAAGTTCGATGGAGAAGTGCTTCGTGCAGTTGATCGTCAGCCCATTTTTGATAATGAGAAAATCCTTGAGACGATAATGCAGTCAGACAAGACAGTCAATGATGACGTTGTCAGCTTCATTCTTCTCCGGGTTGCGCACCAAAATATCGTGTCGAAGATTCGTGGAGATGAAAGGGAATATTATCTGTCCCTGCTGAAAACCATTCTTGACGACGAGAAAACCAGATCTCTTTTTTCGCAGCGTCATGATAAAGACATCAGATTGGAACTCGAAAGGTCCGGAAACAAAAAAGTTATTGATATTTGGGACGAGTTGGATAGCAGGCTTTCGGAACCAAAAGAAGACGCGAATAAGATCATTTCGAAACCATAGAAGAACGCGGATAGGAGTTCTTCAAAACCAGGGTTAGTACAACAGATGCTTTCCTATTTTAAAGGGTGAGATAGTGACTTTGTAGAGACTCAATAGTATCTTTGAATATAATACGTCAAATAAATTTGCCATAGTTCCAGACTTTACTGAGGTCAAGCATTGATTTGTGTAAAATGTAAAAAAAACAGATATTCAGATGATCACTGTAGATGAAGATCCTTTTGCGAGGTATTACAGTTGTCTATCACCGATGTATTACTGGGCAAAAAATCACTTTTGTACAATTGTATTAATGTTGGTGGAATTATGATAATGTAGTAATTGTCGACTATGGAATATCGAAAAGAAATGGTTTGTGGTACACATGAGCTGTAAGCGCATTTACAAACAATTTTGCTATTAGATATAGAAAACATATACATGTAGTATTACTTCAAAAGCTATCCTGGTTGTATGCTCCTCTTGAAATGGAAAATCGCTTCTGCATCTTGGTATAGTGTACAAACCAACCTCTTTGCCGGAGTAATCGCGAGGACTTAAAACCGAAGCTTTTTAAGCCATGTGCACGACAATCCCGTTGCATTTGGTAAAACACACGATCAAGTTGTAAAATCGGCTGAATTCTGTATAAGGTTGATATGTGAGTTTTTTGTTTACCTCTCTCCACAACAACTAAACACTCTTATAAGTTTAGATCAATCGTGAGGCTGTGGCTATTGAGCGTCCAGTCTTTTTAAGTAAGGACGGAATAGTCTTTTCCTTCAAATAAGAACAACTTAGATGCTTACGAATTAAATATGCTCCAGACCGAGCAACAGCAAGTCGTACTTGCGGTCTATAATTCAGAAGAACGTGCACGAGATAGAGCACTGACTTTAGTACCTCCTTTAGTACCTCTGCGAAGGTAGCATTGTTTAACACGGAAAGGGTCGAAGTGCAACGCATAATCAGGCGTACCTAGTGCGCTCTAATTCCTTGTCTATTCGCCCAAGCCAAATATGTGTCGAGATTGCGAACACGTTACCGCTGCAACGGCGCAGAACCCCTTTTTAAGAATTTTTAGCTTCAATTCTCATGGATGGTCTCTGAGCATTTGGCGGCCACACAAAGAACTTCGCGTCCACCCTACCGTATTTGAGGCAAGGATGCGTATCGTATCATAAGCTGAGTATAATTTGCGTTTGTTAAAGTACTGGAACTGAAGGATCTACGAGCGCGGCAAGAGCATTGAACATTAGCCATGATGAGAAAGAAGAGAACAATGCCGTAGCTAATGAGCATCTCCGCATGCTCAAAATCTGAACATCTGCGTAAGGCTCCTGTAGGATCGTCCAACGGAATCCTCTTGGAGTTTCTTAGTACCAGTAGGCGCAAAAGGGGCTCTAGGACAGAACAGGATTAAATTGTATTTTGTGAAGATCAAGGTCGATTGAACTCAGCTTTATATGCTCTTTACAAGAAATGATGTTCATAGCCTAGGGTTGTCAGCTTTGCGAGCTTTGTGAAGGCGCGGAAAGTCCAGACTGATTAAGAAGCGCCGTGCAATTACATTCAACGCGCGACTAACGAAATCAGAGCTCAGCCAAATACAAAGGCATATTCGTTCGCATTGCAACCTGGAAAGTGTTAACAAGTTGAATTTTCGAGTGAAGCTTAATCGTAAAACGACGTTTAGTCTTGGGCTTAGAATTGACGTTCAATGCTCGAATTCTATGCTTTATGGAGAAACGTGTGGCATTCAACGGATAGACCGATTTCAAAACAACAATTTTTGGCGCAGGCATGCAGATACGATAGCTGCAGTGTTGAACATGGCATCACTTCGATTAGTAGGCCAATTAATCGCTAAGTGTCTATGGCTAATCTGGAAATGCATAAGCAGGTATGAGTCCCGACCTTGGCATCTAAATGAGTGACTTGCAATAATTTATCGCGTCATCACCGAATAGCTTTGTGCTGATGTCTTTCGTGTCAGATTTAGTGAGAATAAATGGCGTCTGTAAGTCACAAGTAGAATAGCTAGGACTTGATGTTGATAAAGTTATCAATGTCGCGGTGTTTTGTAAATTAATTCCGGTTGACGCGCCTCCCGTCAGATTTGGACAGCTCCTCGAATTTAAATGTTTATTCTTCGTGAACAGAGTGACCAATATAGATAGTCTTTAGACAGTAAAATTTTCTTTCCTATCAGCTTCAATAAGCCCGACAACCTTCCTTTTCTCGTGAATCTGTGCAAGCATTGCAAAATCATGAATTTTTGAAAGTTTCGGCTGAAACCTGTGAAGGAGCTGAGTTCATAATCCATCCAAGATACTTCCCGTAGTTGCAGACACTCAAAATTCACTGTGTGCCTATTATGACATAACTGTTTCCACTGCGAACTCCTTTTTTTGCTTAAACAATCGTACGACGTGATGGCACAGGACCCACGAGTGTCGTCTCCAGATATGTGAGTACGTTATGAATTTGACTTATTTCCCGGTTTCAGATATTACACCACAAAGCAATGGCCCTTACCAAGGGAACAGTGTGACGTCATTGCCTCGTTTTTGTGAGCGAAACGGAGGCAGTTGTCTCCATTCGGCGTCGACTTTCTGTGTCAAAATGACCAACAGCAAGTGGCAAATTGCGCGCGCTTAAAAATATGCTAAATGTAGCCAAATTCTACCGCTACTGCCGATTCCAAAAAATCTTCTCAAAAAGATCTGCTGCAGAACAGTATGACTGGTTGCGTTTGTTTGATGATTGACAATCATAACCAACTGCTAGTGAGAGACATCTTAGTGTAATGCGTCATTTAAGCAGGATGATCTGGAATGGGCTGGTTCAAAGAATTTGTCTCACGCACTAGCAAAGTTCAATTGTTTGCGGGTGCAGTTGTTCAAATTACATCTTGTCAGTGCTTTAAACAAATGCGACGATATATTTGTTCGTAGTCGTGCGGAGCGCGGGATGTCGGATGCATATAGGCACAGTAATTATTAGCTGTGAGCTCGAGAGTACGCGCATCAAGACACTATTCGCCAATATAGACAAGTATACATTTGGCGCCGACAAGATCCACTAACGAAGTTACTCCAGTTTAAAAAACACAGATCTTGAAGGATCTTGATCCTTCAAGATTAAGGCCATCGATCGACCAGAGTATCTTGATCAATTTCATGGACAAGTATAGTAGAAATTGTACCATCTCAATGTAGCAGATGACTTTTTCAAAGCCAGGAAAAAAAGCATCAGATGTGCATTGAAAATAGATCCAGCGGAATCAGATCCGCCATTCCATGTCGTCTGTGATCCATCAAATTTTAAGTAGGCAATAATTTACTCCACGCGGATAACAGCGGTCATGGCGAATAATCGTCTGAGTTTTGCCAGCTTCGACCGACAGTAAAAAGTCTCGTGATGAGAATTAAAGTAAAATGAAGCATATTTTATTGCAAAGTTATTTATGCACCTGAATGTCTCCAATATATTGGTGATCTATATTGCTCATGCGTCGACGTGCACAGCGACGTCACTACTACATCATCGAAAAACGGCAGAGTACATTTGCTGGGTATAAAGTCCGTTAGGCTAAAAATGTTGAAAATTTGCATTTTCATTCGCCCCAACCAAAGCAATCGCGTATCTTGGTGTTGAATCTGCCAAATAATGTGGTAACACGTAGGTATTGCGTTGTTAAAGCTTTTATAATCATGGTGTTAGAAATCGAACGCAGCTTAGATTCACCGCTGAGCCAACGTTTGTTCTGCTATTTTCATCCCAAAAGATTGCCGCTTTATGGCATGACTCGACGTGAGGAGGTACCTTGCGATGAGGGAATCATCGCGTGACATTGGGCGAGGCAATGATACCCTTTTTAGATCACCACTGGAGAGAGGAATCACATACTTCCTCTGTCCGAAAATATAAGCGGTGCTGCGGGGATTGACCAATATTAAGCTCAAATTTGACCTTTTCTGCTTGCTTACTGGCTAAAATTGACGGGTCGAGCCTGACAAGTCGATTGGTGGTTCTCGTGCGAGTTTTTGTTGAACAGAGCCAAAGTTATAACGGTAAACGCACAGCCGTCAAACCCCATTTCGGCTTTGACTCTTCGCCACTCCTTGTGATGGGGTCTGACGCTACTTCTGTGGCAAAGCCACGAAAGAATATCACCCCGCCCGAGCGTGCTGAGGTTATCGCTTTCCTCCTGCGGGTCAGCATTGAGCTACGCCCGCCTCCAGGCGCGATCGGCTCCAGCGCGACTAAGTATGGATGTAGTACTGACCAGATTTCGCGATTGTGGCGCCGGACTACCAAGGACATCAAAGCAGGAGAGCCGATCAACTACAACAGCGGCAGGAAGGGAAAGAGTGGCCGCAAGACGCGTTTAACGCCGGAGTTCCGCCACGCCCTCAACGACGCCATCGAACTTATCCCGCTAGAAGACAGGTCAGATATTCGTACTTTGGCGAATACACTCGGTATTCCAAAGTCTACGCTGCATGACTACTTTCTCGCTGGAGTATTTCGTTGCCACACAGCTCGCGCCAAGCCGATGCTTACTGACAAGCAGCGTATCGATCGAGTCAAATTTGCTGCTAGTTTTGTGCAGCGTGGTCCCGGTGTCTGTATTCGATTCGACAGTATGATGGAATACGTACATTTAGACGAGAAGTGGTTCTACTTGAAGAAGGACAAGCAACGGTTCTATCTTGGAGAGCACGAAGAGGAGCCCTACATCACCGTGAAGAACAAGAACTACATGATCAAAGTGATGTTCCTTGCGGCAGTGGCTCGCCCGCGATGGTCTGCGAAGAATCATTGTATTTGGGATGGAAAGATCGGTGTGTGGCCGTTTGCTGTTTATGAGCCTGCAGAGCGATCCAGCAAGAATCGAGCGGCTGGGACTTTGGAGCTAAAGACATACACTGTCGATCGCGACATTTATCGACAAGCGCTTTGCCGGATGGTCATACCGCGCATCAAAGCGGTATGGCCATCAGGCAAGCGGGTCGTGCTGCAACAGGATAACGCCAAACCGCACGTCACGGTTGATGACCCCGAAGTGCTCAGCTGGCGGCTGGGATATGAAGCTTACCGCGCAACCAGCCAATTCACCGGATTTCAATGCGAATGATCTCGGGTTCTTTGCTTCACTGCAGTCGTTGCAGCACAAAATGAAAGCTAAAACTATCGAGGATCTAGTCAACAACGTGGACGACGCTTTCGCTAAACTCCACTACACTGCTCTCGACAAAGTTTTTCTGACGCTGCAGTCAGTACTGCAGGAGACAATGCATATCGACGGATGCAACAAGTACAAAATCCCTCACCTCGCCAAGGACACGCTACGAACGAGCACTGGTTTGCTACCACCTTCATTGACATGTAGTGATCGAGTGTACGATAAGGCCAGACGTTTCTTAAGTTCGGTTGGGCAAAAATAAAAAGTCAAAACCGTACTTAGGCTTATATTTTCGGACACGCGCAGTAATAGACACCAGCTTATATTTTCGGACAGAGGAAGTACCTTAAAGTGAGTGCTATGTAATGAACAACCAACATGTAAATGTGAGTAAGATTTATGTGCGCATATGTGTGATGAAATGTACGAATCCTCGCTGCATGCGTCAGCACCATTGTTCAGCTTGCCAAATCTGGCAGAGTGTTAGCAAACTTTAAGTATGGATTCTATTTTTTCGTCTTCTAAGTACGGTTCCGGAACTTTAGATATTGCAGACTTTTAAATCGTCTAGGCCAAATTCTCACCCCGCTGCTTACAGTGACTCAATTACCGGTAAGGGTACAGTCAATTCTATTCTGGACATAGATCTCTGCGAACTTCGCTCGCGTGGCATTTCTGTTGGCCTAAAATTTTCGCTTTACTTATTTTTTCGCGGAGTTTGTTCAAGTTGCCAGGACCAGACCGGACATATCGACCGCTGATTAACTACGAACAACTGAATGCAATTATTGTGTTGTGGAGTGGATCTTTCACGAGGGCCCACAGCGCTGATGCAAAATGCTCCCACTTATCGAGTTTGCAATGGATAACATTATACAGCAGCTCATAGTTCTTTTAAGCATAAAACTTTGGCCGATCGAATGAATAAGACGCTTGTGGAGATAACACCGTACATGCTCGGGTGAAGAGGATTCGACAAAACTTATTGGTTTGAGGTGATGATGATGGCAGCCGGCATCTAATAATAAAAGCCCGGCCGAGGTGGTGTCCAAATAAGTTACACAGTAAGATTACACGCGGATGTTTGGAGCTGTGATCACTTCTCATTACGCAAAGAAAACCCGTAGAAAGATGGGCGATCGCAGCGTTAAGTGCTGCCTGCTGGGACAAATCAAGCAAAGTAACGCATAACTACTAACAAGATACGTAATGGGCAAAGAGTCGTTGCAATGAGCGCGACGTTTGCAGATCGCCCAATGGCAACTAACTAAAACCGGCATTCGCAGAAAAAACTCGATGCTATCAAAATCGGAGACCAATATTTTGCTATATTCAAAGGAAACTATAAACTTAACGATAAATTAGCACTGTTTCTTGCCATATAAACACAATGAGCCAAGTGATTCAGCTCTTACGCGCAACTCAAGATCGTAAGGATTAGACGAATAAATCGAATGTCTGAAAAACATTCTCGCAAGATGTGAGGCGATATGTGCTACTTGCAAAAAATATTCACGTCGTGGAAAACTTGGATTGGACGATTAGAAGCTTATCATGGATCGTTATTCCGTCTGATTGCAGACGACCATACCGGCGGGTGTGCCGACCTACTGATGAAGTGGTCAAGACCAAGAGCAACACTCAATGAATGCGCACGATTAGGAGAATGATAAGATTTTCTTATTGCTCAAAAGTGAATGCTCGTTAACACGCCTCCAAAACTGAAGCCAATTACAAGTGAGTTTTTCGAGCCAAGCGCGATCCAAACGCTGATATCGCCCATATTAAGTCTCGTCTTATGATGAAGGGATCCACCAAGCGTTCCGGCGTCGACGTTTTGGATACCTGCTCCTGTTGGTGCGATAAATCTACTAACACTTTGTTGCGATTCGGAAGTACGAAGATGAAAAATTTGCCAAATGTTGCTCATGACCGCCAGCTTTACACACCACCATTTCAAACAACAGAGAAACTGAGGTCGTAGCCAAATCGATCTCAGTGCTGTCCTGTTAAAACAGTAGCCGATGCCACTGGATGGCATCGCGACTGATAACTTTATCCATGATCTCCAATCGATAGATTTTTGTTTGAATTGAAGGACGTGACAGCCGACAAATAAGTACGGCGTGCGATCATAATTCTTGTGTATATGATGCGTCTTAACAATGTAAATAAATCGACCGAGACCACCTTCTTTGTGGGTAAACACAAAAAAGATAAGGTTGGCACCAAAGGCATCTCTAGTCATGGAAGTTACCGGGTCGATGCTCGACGACGAAAACATGGCGCTTCTCATTACCATCCCTGGCTGTCTCACAAGGAGATTGACAGAGTGTGTCGGCTGCTCGAGAAAGTCACGTGCGCCGACTATATCACGAAGAAAGCGCTTGACTGTCTGCTTGCCTGCAACATTGCGCTGTCTAAGGTGGCAGACAACGGGGTTAAAAAATTCGCGCAGTTGCACACATGCAATCGTAATTTCTAGCAACGTGGCCGAAATTGCTAAGCTCGCGAAGTTGCGCAACATCAATTGTGTTATAAGAGATGTGCCCCTGGCGAAGACTTCACTTCGCCACCAAGTGGAAGAGGCAATGAAAACCACAGTTCCATCTTAGCGCCTCGACATCTCTAAGACGAGCGCCACGTGGTGGAACTCGTCCGAGCCGATGCGAGAGCTGAGTGCGACCAAGGCTTTGGGGATGTTTGAGCTGCCATAAATGTCCCTTGCGCCGACAATTT